TACCAGCAACTCAGATCAAATTATTCACCCCCCGAGTCAACTAATCACAGTAAAGCTCACTGACACCAATTACCTGATTTGGCAGCAACAGATCCTGGATGCAACAAGAGGATATGGGCTTATGGGTTATCTCAATGGGTCTTTACCCAAACCAGAAGAGTATTCAGCTACTGGATCTAGTGAAGGAGTCCCAATAAATCCACTCTTCTCAACATGGATGAGACAAGATCAATTGTTAGCATCTTTGTTGTTGTCTTCTCTTTCTGAAAGTGTGCTCATCTCCACTGTTGACCTTACCACAAGAAGAGTGATATGGGAATCACTTAAGATCACATTTGCAAGCCAAAATCAGGCTAAAATCATGCAGTACAAACTGCAACTTCAAACTTTCAAGAAAGGAAGCCTGCCAATGAGAGAGTACATGAGTAAGGTTAAGCAATGTTGTGATCTATTGGCTTCAGCTGGGCAAAAGATTGATGAGACAGATCAGATAGCTCACATTATTTCTGGGCTAGGATCTGAATACAATGCAGTGATGGTGTCTCTTGCCTCAAGATCTGAGCCCTGCACCCTGAGAGAGGTTCACTCCATCCTCCTAAGCTTTGAAAGCAGGCTTGAAGCAACTGAAGGATTCATCAACCATGGAGAGGAATCAGGTTTCTCAATGAACTTGGCGTCACAGGGACATACTGGAAACCCCAAAAAAGGAGGATATCAAGGAGGACAAAGAGGAAGAGGGGGTAATCAAGGATTTCAGGCTAGAGGAAGAGGAAGACATGCAAACTTCAGAGGCAGAGGAAAATCCTTTAACAGTGGAAGAACAAGGTGCCAGATATGCCATTATAATAATCACACAGCAGAAAGATGTCACTACAGAAGTGATCTCAACTTTGTTCCTAAGAGCTTCAACTCTTCCTCACAAGGAAACTTTCAGCCTCAAGCCATGAACCCTCAGCAAATATGATGAACTTTGAAAGCTCAAAAGGAGGAGAAGACACCTACTGGTACCCGGACTCAGGTGCTACAAATCACCTGACATTTGACATGGCAAATCTCAACATAGCAGCAGACTACCAAGGGGGTGAGAAAGTTCAAATGGGTAATGGAAAAGGTTTACGCATTTCTCATTTTGGTAACTCATTCATTAGACCACCTGATCAAATGTCTATTAATTTCATTCTGAAAAATCTTCTTCATGTTCCCAAAATCACAAAGAACCTGATAAGTGTCTCACAATTCTGCAAGGATAATGGAGTTTTCTTTGAGTTTCATTCAAATGTTTGTGTTGTGAAGGACCAGGAAACCAAGGAAACCCTTCTCAAGGGAAAGCTTGACAATGGCCTCTACAAATTTCAACTTCAAACCTGGAAACAACACACATCCTCAGCAAGACCTTCCCAACACCAAGAACCTTTCTTCATTTTCAGTTTCTATGAATAATAAGTTAGGCCTTGGAATTTGGCATTCTAGATTAGGTCATGCCTCATTTGACGTTGTGAGAAAGGGTTTAGAACAATGTAATATTCCCTACTCTAGTAATGACAGTCAATCCTTATGTTTACCTTATCTTCAATCTAAGTCTCACAGACTTCCTTTCATTGCTTCTGAAAATAAAGATTACGGAATGTTTGATCTTGTTCATAGTGACTTGTGGGGACCAGCGCCATTAAAGTCCTCAAATGGACATGCCTACTATGTGAGCTTTATTGATCATGCCACCAGGTTTACTTGGTTTTACCTGTTAAAACAAAAGTCAGACACCTTAAATTCCTTCAAACACTTTGTTTCTCTTGTCAAAAACCAGTATGATAAAAGCATAAAATCTTTTCAATCTGATGGTGGAGGAGAATTCAAAGCCATGGTCCCTTATCTTCTTGAAAATGAGATAGAACATAGGATCTTCTGTCCTTATACACCCCAACAAAACGGATTGGCTGAAAGAAAACACAAACATATAGTTGAAGTAGGCTTATCACTCCTTGCCAATTCACATGTTCCTATGAGATACTGAGACTGTGCATTCACTAGTGCAGTGTTTATCATAAACATAACTCCTTCAAAAATCCTGAACTACAAAACACCTCTTGAAGCACTAACTGGATAAAAACCAGACTACAACCAACTCAAAGTTTTTGGATGCCTAGCCTACCCTTGTTTGAGATCCTACAACAAAAATAAATTGGAGTTTATAACTCAGCCTGGAACTTTCCTTGGTTACTCACCTGGGTACAAAGGATATAGAGTTCAACTTCCAAATAAAAGGATAATCATCTCAAGAGATGTATTATTTGATGAGAAAGTGTTTCCCTACTCTCAAGAAAAAGAAAGACCAAATGTTAAACCAGACAGTGTTCAATCATATTCACCTCTCATTACTGTCCCACTACCACAAAGGTCACAAGGACAAACCTCTTCTCATGATTAAAGCATAGAACCTGAACATTCACCCTTGCCACAAACACCAAACCATCCACAATCGTCATCTCCAACACATTCCTCATCTCATACTCCTTATTCTGTCTCTTCTTCTCTTAAGGGTGGTCATATTGTGATTGAGTTGCCTATTGGAACAATGCTAACCTTGATAATATTGTTCAATGTTCTGAACAAAGAAATACAGGTCAGCACCCCATGATTACAAGAGCCAAGGCAGGAATCTACAAGCCAAAAGCATATCATGTGGTCTCAGATGATTGTGAAGAACCTGTTAGTGTTGAAGAGGCATTGTCCATACCACATTGGGCTGAGGCAGTGAATAATGAGTATAAAGCATTACTGAGGAACAATACTTGGATTCTATGTCCACTTCCTGCAGGAAAAAGCACAATAGGATGCAAGTGGGTTTTCAAAACCAAAACAAATGCTGATGGAACCTTGGGAAAATACAAGGCTAGATTGGTAGCAAAGGGGTATCCAAGCACCTGGTTTGGATTTTCAAGAGACTTTCAGCCCAGTGATCAAACCTACAACAGTCAGGATCATATTATCCAATGCACTGTCCAAAGGATGGAATCTAAGACAATTGGATGTGGACAATGCATTCCTTAATGGAGACATTGATTCAGACATATACATGGACCAGCCACCAGGTTTTGAAATTCTCAAAGGGCAAAACATGGTATGTAAACTCACTAAGTCTTTATATGGATTAAGGCAAGCTTCAAGAGCATTGTCATGTAAACTTGGTAGTTACTTACTGAGTTTGGGATTTTCCTTGTCTAAGGCTGACAGCTTACTCTACATAAAGCATGGAGATAACCATATCAGATTTGTCTTAGCCTATGTAGATGATCTCACTGTGACAGGAAGCTCAAACTCTGAGATAGACATTTTTCTTGATACTTTGAAATCTCAGCTCACAATGAAGGATTTGGGTAATCTAAACTATTTTCTGGGAGTTTAGTTTATTCACTTGAATGATGGGATATTTCTGAGTCAAAATAAGTAAATTGAAAGCCTACTTGACAAATCAGGGATGAAGGAGGCAAAAGGGTTAAGCACTCCAATGATATCAACTCCACCATTATCTAAAACAGATGGAGATCCATTGCCTAATCCCAGCACATATAGAGCATTGGTTGGAAGCTTGCTGTATGCAACTATAACCAGACCAGAAATCAGTTACAGTGTGAATAAAGTTAGTCAATACATGCAATCACCATTGAGCTCACATTGGAAAGCAGTGAAAAGGATTCTAAGGTACTTATCAGGAACCAAAGACTTGGGACTGATGTTTAAGAACAATACCAACATGAATCTAGTTGGCTTTGTTGATGCAGACTGGGCCACAGATGCAGATGATAGAAAATCCACCTCAGGATCATGTCTTTTCTTGGGAAGCAACTTGATTTCATGGAGTTCAAAGAAGCAATCAGTGGTTTCCAGATCAAGTACAGAAGCAGAGTATAGAAGCTTAGCACATGGAGTATGTGATGTACTCTGGACAAGGAATCTGCTCAGTGAACTCAAGATAAAACTGGAAAGAATACCTACCATTTGGGTTGACAATCAAGGAGCCATATCTCTTGCAGCAAATCCTGTATTCCACTCAAGGACAAAGCATTTTGAACTAGACTTACACTTTATAAGAGAAAGAGTGATTAACAAAGAAGTCTTGGTCCAATATGTGCCTTCATATGAACAGATAAGTGATATATTCACAAAGGCATTATCAAAACAATTTTCACAAGGCTGAGAGATAAGCTAGGAGTTGTGTCCCATCCTCTGCTCAAATTGAGAAGGGATAAAAGTCAAACAAATAGTCCAGAAGGACTTGACATGGCAGCAACAAACTCCACATCACACATGCATACGTGGAGTGGGACCATGCAGCAGAAAAGTGACGAGAATACTTACCTGATGAATGATAGGAATTATGAGCTGTCAAAAAGCAAAGAGTGATCTTATCTTTTTAGGGTTTCAATTGTGTGGTCATTGTTAGTCTAGGAAATGAGATATAAATATCATCACTGTTGCTTTTGTATTCATTCAAGAAACAAAACACAGAAACTTGTAAGCTGCGGCTTCTTTTCACAGTACATTAATGGCTATGAAATCTCTTAGCTCGATCATTTCCTTTTTCATGTTTGATCTCATTTTCCTTTACCACCATCTCCCATCATAAAGTAGAGGTATCCATCAGCTAGACCGAAAAGGATTTGGACGTCGTGATATGCTGTGAAGGGCATACCCAATGTGATAATTCTTCTTACTTCTTTTAAAATATAGTTGGTGATAAAAAATGAATAAGTAATTCAATTTTTTATTGGTGCACAATTTCAACCTTATGATATATAATAATTTCCTATTTCCATTTACGTGATTTATATTATATAATCTCTTTTTCAATCTAATTTTAATTCTCAACCGTAAATAATTTATGCAAATATCAAATTTACATTAGCACTTACCATTGGGAACCAAAAACAAAAACAAAAAAAGAAAAAAAATTACTCGAGCCTTTTTATTGGATAATTACACTCGAGTTAAAAACTTAAAATATCAAAAACGTTTTTCCAGTGAAACAGTCTCTCATAAGCCGTCGTTAAACCTCTCCACACTTGGCCCTTTTGTATCAGAAAAAGCAATCTTCAATCCAAGATCATGAGGTTCTCTGAATCTGTATTTTTTTTTTTTCAGAAATGTCATTTGCATTTGTGATTTTCAGTATTTTTTGGGTCCGGCGAACTAACGGCGTCGTTTTTCTGTTGGTCGCAGCCGGCAGCCGGAGGTTCTGTGGGCCCAGAGGTCCGACAAAGTGTACCTGACCGTGTCCCTGCCCGACGCCAAGGACATCTCCGTTAAATGCGAACCAGAGGGCCAGTTCACCTTCGCCGCTGTTGGGGCTAACGGCGAGCCCTTCAGCTTCACTCTGCAGCTTTATGACAATATTGCTCCTCAGGTTGCCAGTTAATCACGCTGTTATTGTCATCTTTTTGTGGTGCTATTTGTTTCGTTTATGAGCTCTTGTTGGGAAATTAGTGTGGAAAAGGGAAATTTGGGAAGAAGAAAGTGATTATCTTTTATATTAAGTTGATTTGAGTTGAGGATTTTCTAGTAATCGTTGATTTACGAGAAATTGGATGCTTTTCGGGAATCACATCTATTTTGATGAACAAAATGAGGAAAAACCAGTTACTTTTGTGAGCCGTCCTTGAGTTTGCTAAATGTCCGGTTCAAGATTTGCTGATGGTTTTGGTTGATTGTTAAAATTTGTTGGTTTGTGAGTAGAATGCAATCACTTTTTAACAACTGCGACAAGTTTTTTATATAAGCGAAAATTGGTCTGATTTTGTTTCGATCAGACTGCATGGGTTATACTTTGGTATGATGTGTTTCATGTGGAAAATGAATTGGCTATGTTCACGAAACAAATGCAATTACTAGTTTATGTCTTTGTTCTCGCTGATGTTAGCTCTATAATTCATGGATTAGTAACTATTCAGATATCATTGTTGTACGTGTAGTCATTGGCCATTACCAAATCAATTACCGGAGCTAAAAAGAGCTGCCTCTGATATCCGCCTGGACTAAAAAAAATGTCTAATAGAACTATCCTCAATAACTCGTTGAAGTTTATTCCTATTTATCTCGATTTAGCCATAACGTGTATGAGACTTGACGAAAGAAGCGTGGGTGAAACTTTCTATCAGTGTTATCTTAATGTTGAAATAGTTTTAACATATTGCTGGTATTGCAACTAGACATATTTAGCTTGGTATATGCACCTTGATGTTTTTGTGTGAATTTGTCTTTTACCTTGTCGCTTACACTACATGTACTTGCAGCCTCTACCTATGAATGTGGCATTTATGGCACATTTAACTAATTTAAATGTGATAATTTTAGAGTTTTGTTACTAAATGCAGGGATGCAGAACAAAAACTGGTCTAAGGAATATACTATGCTCTATACAAAAGGAGCAAAAGGGATGGTGGAAAAGACTATTGAAATCCGAAGAAAAGCCTGCTCCATACATTAAGGTTGATTGGAATAAATGGTGTGACAAAGATGATGAAGAATCTGAATGTGAGTTTCGTGTTACATCTTCATTGATAATTTGATCTTCATGGTTATTGAGCTCTACTAAACAATTTTCTAGAAGAACTGTCACTTAATTTGGCGCTTGGGTTGAATAACTAACGAGAAGTACTGGTAAAGCATGAGCTACTTTGTTTAGGTCAAAGGTTGTTAAATTGATCTATGCAACAAAATGATTATTCCTAGCACATGATGCTATTTCGCATGGCTTTATTTTGTTTAAGTGATGTTTCATCTGGCAATGATTTTCTTATAGAACAATAATGCTACATGAGTAGAGACCCTTGACGTTAGTATGGGCTGTTTTCTTATTTTTTACTCCTTTTTTTTATATATATGCAGCATATCTGGGTTCTGATGATGACACCATGGTAAACTAACTACTTTCTCTTTCAATTATAAAATTTAGTCAAGTAATGGAAGGATGTCAATTTACCGGCTTAACTTATATGGTTCTTATATTACAGTATACCGGTGAACATGAAGAGAGCAGTGATGACGAGGGCATGCTCTGTGAGTTCAAATACCTTTTATAATACACACACCATCACAATATGCCGGTCTATAAACATTATATTCTGCTGAAGATTATGATTACTCTATTTAGCGGTTGATGTGGTTTCCTTGTTATGTGTGGGCATTTCCACTTGGCGTCTCTTATTATTTTCCCTTGCCCCTAATACTTTGTCATTTACGGCTGTCATCTCATAATACTGTGCTTAATTTCTTTTCCCTGCTGATTTTTGGTGATTAATTATTTTTTTCATTAATTTGGTCCATCCTGTCGAATTAATTCAAAGTGGTTAGTCAAACGTAGATTTTTATATGAGGCGGCCCAACCGTTAAGCGACCATCATACCCTTCTAACAAAAATGTGTACTTATGCAGTTGTCATGAAATTTCATCTTTTTTGTTTACATTGGCTTTTTGGAAATGACATTTCAGTTTGAAAATTTTTGAAAGTCTTGCACATCTATTGAAAAAGTGTAGTTGTCGAACAACAACTTACTTTCGAACGAATGGAAACTCAAATTTGAGGCCTTATCTATCTGCTCATCTTCTTAATGCCCCACAGATCTTCCTGATTTGGAGAAAGCTCGAGGCAATTAAAGAGTCGCCTTCGTCTAAGAGCGTACCGTAAGACTTATCATCGGGCACCAATGTAGAGATTGCTGAAGTGTATGAGAGACCATGTCATGCTCAGGTTCTTTTCCCTTTTAAGGGTATTATTTAGAGGTGAAATTATTATTGTATAGATTTTGATGAAGTTCTGTTTGTTTAGTTCAAAATTTGGTATCGGCATCGGCATCTCTATTTCTACAACAGCTTAGTTCAAATGGCACTCAGTTATGATCTCTATAATGCACAAAAATGTTTGAGGCTGTATTTTACATCATTACATGCAATGCCCGAATTGCAAAATATGTTTATTTTTTCTTTCAGTTTTTTCTTATTTTTCTTTTTTTTCTTTAGAGAAAAGTATTTTGTGATAATTGATTGAGTTTAAGCTGCCTGATTTGAGACAATTCACATCAAGTTTAGAATGAATATCCACTTAACATCTACCTCTTTTTTGTCATTCATTATTTCTTTATTTGCTTAAATTGAAACACTTGTGTCCAAATTAGTAGGAATTTTACACACTTGTGTCTAAATACCGTACCCTTTTTACTAAATACTGCACCCCAAGAATACAGTTTTACCCTTTTGAATTTTAATTTTTTTTTTTTAGGCCGGCCGGTTGGGAATCGCGGCCGTAACCGTGCCGGTCTTCTTTCCCAGTTGACGCACCGTGCACGGCCTTCTTTCTTGGTTGGCCGCACCGTGCATGGCCTTCTTTCCTGTTGGCCGCACCATNAATCAAATTTTTATTTATTATATACATTATATTAGAATTTAAATATTATATTATAAATTAGAATTTATTATCTTATAGTTAGAATTTAGAAATTGTTAAATTATAATTATAATTAATTATCTTTTAGAATTTTATTATTATTATGTTAGAACTTAAAAATTATTACGTTACATACCAATTTTAATAACAAATTGAACGGAAAAAGTCGGATTCTGTTCAAGCAATTGATTGAGACCGATTAATTCATTATGATTAGACCGAATTTTATGACAAGATTGTTTGACACTTTTCTCAGAGTTATATGATTCGTGTGAATATTATAGTAGGAAAAACATTCATGCTCATGTTTAATTGAAATATTAGTGACAATGCCTTGCCGTTGACTTTCATTCTCTAATGAACTTGTATTTGATCAAATCAATTTTATCACGCTTGGGATCCTGATGTTAGTGCCATAGCTAAGTTTAATTTCAATGCAGCAATTAAACCATTAATAAATTATAATTTATAAGATAATCAATTCAAATATATAACATAATAATTTATACTAATATATTTTTTTTAAACTAGTATCATTTCTAATTTACAATAATATAATTTTTACTAATTATTCTAATATCATTTTTTTAACTGTATTTGTTGTTAGTTCATTTTATCCTCAACAAATTCATAACAAATTAATTCGGTATGATTAGACCGAATTTTATGACAAGATTGTTTGACACTTTTTCTCAAAGTTATATGATTCGTGTAGATATTGTAGTAGGAAAAGCATTCAAGTTCATGTTTAATTGAAGTATTAATAAAAATGTCTTGCCATTGACTTTCATTCTCTAATGAACTTGTATTTAATCGAATCAATTTTATCACTCTTAGGATCATGATATTAGTGCCATAGCTAAATTTAATTTCAATGCAGCAATTAAACCATTAATAAATTATAATTTATAAGATAATCAATTTAAATATACAACATAATAATTTATACTAATATATTTTTTTTCAAACTAGTATCATTTCTAATTTATAATAATATAATTTATACTAATTATACTAATATCATTTTTTTAACTGTATTTGTTGTTAGTTCATTTTATTCTCAACAAGTTCAAGACAAACATAACTCGAAATTAACGTATAAACACGGCCGAATATCATAATATATCAATAATATAATGAATGCCATCAATCACAAACATAAGTCGAATATCATAATATATCATCCAGCTCCATTACGAATATCACGCCACAACTGGACCCTGCTCTGGTAGTGATCATCCCATCCTTGAACCGTCCCATCTCGGTATCTCTCCCAACAATAACAAATAGGCGGTAATGGAAACTTAGAAGACAGATTCAGACGAATGAAGTGTTTGTAAGAACCAAGATGACTTATGACAATCTCGCGTTCAGGTCGTGTAGCCATGAATGGTGCGTGAAGCAGCAATACTGTCGTACTAAAATGATCGATATTGTTATTTCTGGGACCACACACATCCTAACAATACGACAATTGCATTAAACAGTGTAACAATAGGAAAGAGGTCGGCCATAACTTCCATCCAGTGCTCCTTGTTACAAACACCCCAGTCCCATCTTATCCGATCGAACGTCTCAAAACAGCATTAACCAAATCTCCTACAATACTGCCTCTGTAACGTTCCCCTCGATGACACCTCAACACCTTCTGTTTTTCTTCTTTTTCGTGTTTCGAGATGGCCAATTTGAAACCCTATATAATTGCTATCTTTTGCCCATTTAACAGCTTCTTCACAACTATTAAAAGGTCATCTGTAATGAAAGCATGTCTGTAATCAACACCGTCTCGTCTAAAATCTTCGAGTGACACGTGCAATATATTACGATGTATATTAATAATTTTACAAAATAATCTATTATAATTTATAACATAAAAATAATAATTTGTAATTTATTATATAATCAATTCTAACTTCTAACATAATATCAATAAATTCTACTTTATAAGATAATCTATTCTAATCAATAACAAAATAATTTCCAACTTCTAACATAATATCAATAAATTCTACTTCATAAGATAATCAATACTAATATATAACACAATAATTTCTAACATATTATTAATACATTCGATTTTATCAGATAATCAATTCTAATCTATAAGACAATAATTTCTAACTTCTAGCATAATATAAATTTTATTTTATAAGATAATCAATTCTAATCTATAACGTAATAATTTATACTAATATAATTTTATTCTATTATAATTAATTATATCTTATACTATTATAATTTATAATAATTAAACTAATAATAATATAATGTTTTATATACTAATATAATTTTTTTCATTATAATTAATTATATTTTATACTATCATAACTTATAATATTTATACTAATATAATATATATAATATAATATATTAACTTTATTAATATATATTAATATAAAATAATATATGAATGTATAATAATATATATGAAATTATTAATATATATTAATTTAAATTATTGATATATTTTAAGTATTAATTAAACTTAATTATTAATTTTTTAATTTATTATAAAATATATAATAATATATATTACATTATATAAATATATTTTTAATATTTCAACACTTTTAATCAACAAAAATTAAAAACCACGAAAATTTTTAAAAAAATATATACAAAGTAATTTATATGTTCAAATAATTTATATATATAATCTAATATATATTAATTTATATGTACAAATTAATATATATATTTTATTCATATATTTTATTAGAAAAAATAGAAACCGCGAAAAAATAAATAATTAATATATATTAATATATTTTAATTAATTTTTTAATTTATTATAAAATATATAGAATTTTTTTAAATATATTTTATAATATTTAAAGTTTTTTTAATTAAAAAAAGCACAAAAAAAAAAAATCGGCCGGCGATCGGCGATCGCAGCCGGTTAGGGTTAGGCCGACCGGTCTTTTCGGCCAAGTG